TGGAACCGGTTCCAGGTCTCCTATGTGGATGCAGGGTCCCAAAGCTTTGGGCCATCCTCGACTGCTTTCCCAGGCCACAAGCAGGGAGCTGGAAGGGAAGTGGAGCTGCTGGGATTAGAACTAGCACCCATATGGGATCCCGACATGTTCAAGGCGAGGACATTAGCCGCTAGGCCACGAAGCTGGGCCCCCTCACACACATTTCAATAACTTTCCTCTTATCTACACACTAGTGAAGAAAACAGCAGGAGAGTCGTGTTAGTTCATCAATTTGTTGTCATCTCCAAATTGACACCTACTGACTGCATTGTGGCACTGGATCTGGGTCATTTAAATAGTTTCCTTTTGTTGGCACTCAGAACCTTTGTCACAAGCAGGCACTGGAAGGACCGTGCTGGAAGGAAGGTTTTGCTTCCAGCTTCTGCCCTGCTTACTACCTAGGCGGGCCTTTCCTGAGCATGGAGTTCCCTGCAGACACAGGGCTGCCTTCCCACGGAACCCTGCTTCCGGTGCTTTAGTAGTGAAGTGATTCTGGTGAGACTCCACGTGAACATCTTTCTCAGGCAATCCTAGAGGGCAGATTCCAAAGGGATGGGAATTCATGCTTCTACTAATTTCCTAAGATTGGCATTTCAGGAAGTTCTGCCTGCAGGCACCACAGTAATCACAACATCTTTTCTGCTATTGCGTAAATCTGGCTGACTCTGTCCTCTCCAACAAGGCCTAGGTCTTTTTTTTTTTTTTTTTAAGATTTTTAAAATTTTGGGCCTAATGCAGTGGCTTAGCAGCTAAAGGCCTTGCTTTGTACATGTTAGGATCCCATATGGGCGCCGGTTCTAATCCTGGCAGCCCAGCTTCCCATCCAGCTCCCTGCTTGTGGCCTGGGAGAGCAGTCGAGGATGGCCCAAAGCCTTGGGACCCTGCACCACGTGGGAGACCCGGAAGAGGCTCAGACTTCTGGTTTTGGATCGGCACAGCTCCGACTGTTGCAGCCGCTTTGAGAGTGAATCATCGGACGGAAGATCTTCCTCTCTGTCTCTCCTCTTCTCTGTATATCTGACTTTCCAATAAAAATAAATAAATCTTTAAAAAAAGCAAAGATTTTTCAAATTTTTATTTGAAAGGCAGATTCACAGAGAGAGAGAGAGATGCTCTGTTCCCTGCTTCTCTCTCAAAATGGCCACAATTGGCCAGAGAGTAACTGATCCAAAGCAAGGAGCCAGAAGGCACCTCTGGGACTCTCATGTGGGTGTGTGGGCCCAAAGACTTGAGCCATTCTCCACCGCTTTCCCAGGGAGTTAGATCAGAAGTGGAGCAGTTGGAACATGAACTGGCACCCACATGGCATGCCAGCACCACAGATGGAGGCTTAGCCCACACCTCAGGTACTGACCAGGCCTGGATCCTAACACTGGGTGGAAAGTATGGGTGGAGCATGTGCTATGTCAATGTCTAAGAAAAGCACTATTATATATAATATTATTATTATTATTAAACCATAGAGGTTTTTTTTCAAGATTTATTTATTTTTTATTACAAAGACAGATATACAGAGAGGAGGAGAGACAGAGAGGAAGATCTTCCGTTCGATGATTCACTCCCCAAGTGAGTGCAAAGGCTGGTACTGCACCAATCCAAAGCCAGGAACCTAGAACTTCTTCCGGGTATTCCCACACGGGTGCAGGGTCCCAAAGCTTTGGGCCGTCCTCGACTGCTTTCCCAGGCCACAAGCAGGAAGCTGGATGGGAAGTGGAGCTGCCGGGTTTAGAACAGGTGCCCATATGGGATCCTGGCGCGTTCAAGGTGAGGACTTTAGCCACTAGGCCACGGCGCTGGGCCCTATATATAATATTAGATAACAGATACTAAATTGGATACCCCTTGTGTTTTTTAGAGGTCTCTTTATTCCAATTTCATGTAATTACTAGTTCTTTCCCTAATTATATCCTTGTGGGTTAAGCTGCTGCTTGCAATGCTGCATCCCATACTGGAGTGCTGCTTTGAGTCCTGACTATTCTACCTCTCACTCAGTCCCCTGTTACTTTTTCTGTGAAGGTAGCAGATGGCCCAATTAATTGAACCCCTGCACTCAGGTGGGAAAGCAGTATAAGGTTCTGGTTACCTTTGGCTTGACACTGGTCTGGCTGTGGCAGACATTTGGCGAGTGAACTAGTAGATGGAATGTTCATTTCTTCTTTCTCTGCCTTTCCAATTGGTCAATCAATCAATCATAATAGCCTATCTGGGGGGCCCGGAGGCATGGCCTAGCGGCTAAAGTCCTCACCTTGAACGTGCCTTGAACACCCTGGGATCCCATATGGGCACCAGTTCTAATCCCAGCAGCCCCACTTCCCATCCAGCTCCCTGCTTGTGGCCTGGGAAAGCAGTCGAGGACGGCCCAAAGGCTTGAGTCCCTGCACCCATGTGGGATGCCTGGAAGAGGTTCCAGGTTCCTGGCTTTGGATCAGCACAGCATTGGCCGTTGTGCTCATTTGGGGAGTGAATCACCGGAAGGAAGATCTTCCTCTCTGTCTCTCCTCTCTGTATATCTGACTTTCCAATAAATAAATAAATCTTAAAAATCCTATCTGGTCTTTAAGAGAATACCAGCACCACATACAATTTGAAACAGGCTATGAATATATTCTCACATGGGTTTTACAGCAATTCATGTAAAATAAACACAATGAGTATTACTTACTATCCATATTTTACAGGTGAGAAAAAAGGCTGATAGAATGTGGGTTCTTTGAAATCATAGTTTTTTTTTTAAGATTTATTTGCAAGAGAGAGAGAGAGAGAGACTGCAAGAGATAGAGAGGTTTTCTATTCACTGGTTTATTCCCCAAATGGCCACAATGGCTCGGGTTGGCCAGTCCAAGGTCAGAAGCCTGCAATACCATCTGAGTTTTGCATCTAAGTTTGCAGGGTCCAAGTACTATTTTTGGAGGCCGATTAGAAGAGAGCTGAAGTGGAAGTGGAGCAATTGGGATTTGAACCATTGGTCCTACTTGGGGGGCTTGATGTCAAAGGTGGCAGCTTGACTGTCCCACAACACCAACTTTGTATAGTTATTTTTATCAGAAAATAAATGGGGAGGGACTCGGCACTGTAGCCTAGTGGCTAAAAGTCCTTGCCTTGAATGTGCCGGGATCCCATATAGGATCTAATCCCGGCAGTTCTAATCCCAGCAGCTCCACTTCCCATCTAGCTCCTTGCTTCTGGCCTAGGAAAGCAGTCCAGGATGGCCCAAAGCCTTGGGTTCCTGCACCTGCTTGGGTGACCGGGAAGAAGTTCCAGGTTCCTGGCTTTGGATAGGTGCAGCACCGGCCATTGCGGTCACTTGGGGAGTGAATCATCAGATGGAAGATCTTCCTCTCTGTCTCTCCTCCTCTCTGTATATCTGACTTTGCAATAAAAATAAATAAACCTTAAAAAAAATGGGGAGAACATCTAACTTGCTATGACTAAATGAGGTGAAGCAGGTAAAGCATTTAGTGCATAACAATGACTCAGCAAATGCTGTTACAGGAGAACTGAGAAGTATTCAGGCTTGTACTTTGTTAAATTGCTTACAAGCAGTTTTGCAGGTTATATGCATTTTCGATATATGTGCCTTTTTTGTTTTTTTGTTGTGTTTTTTAATATCTATGTATTTTTTTTCAGTCAGTGGTATTATCAAGTACCACAGCAAAACAACCAAGAATCAACCTATTAATTTCACAATTTATTTCCCGAGTTTGTTGCATTCTGAGGGCGAGACATGGCCAGGTGTGAGCCAAACCACCAAGGTCAGGTTGTGCTGGCTTGATAAACTTGTAGACAGTGTTGCCAGTGGTGGAGGAAGGACCCCACATTTCTAGCAGGTCAGGGCTAAATTTAGAAGGTGAACCTTCACATTGAATATATTGTAACTTAAACAGTACCTCTAGTCTCAACTCATCAACTTACTTTTGTACAAGCATGTAGATGGGATCTGGATGTTAACGCGGTAAGGGAGCAAAGATTATGCAAAATTCTTGCATTGATATGAATTACTATACAAATCTTTTTTGGACACTTTAAATTTTCGTAATCAAAAAGTGAAGGCCAGTTTTGTCCTAAAAGTCGGGGGTTAAACACATGTAGTTCTGAACTGTAAAAAAAAAAGTACTTGCCTACAGAGATGTATATTAATATTCTCGGATAAAAATCCTTGGTGAATGGAAAATATTTCGACAGCATTTAAAAGCAGAGTAGAATATGATCCTATTGGGATGGTGCAGACAGAGCAGGTGTTAAAGTTTCATAAGGGAAAACCTGCTTCGCGGCTGAATGCTAATTTCTCACCCATTATTTATTAGATTGTTAGGGCATTTTGAGGGCTTTTCTTCTGTGACACTCAGAATCCCATACTCTGGACTGGTAATTGCAACATTTTCATTTGGTACCCCAAAAACATCCTTTCAAAGAAAAGTGACTACCAAGTAGGAACTCCTTTTCCTTCCTTAGTCGTAAAATCACTTAGAGGCTGGCTTCTGAAAAAAGAAAAAGAAAACAAACAAACAAACAAAAACAAAAAGCAAACAAAAAAGCCAAGCCCTTCTGTGCCCGGAGGAAAACGAAGGCAAAAACATCAGTAAATTCAATCCCTGACAAATTCCTCGAGATTACCCCTAGGGGGGAAGAGTTGTCTACCGGAAAGGGCCCGACTGCCCTCCCAGGAAGGGCAAGTGACTCGCAGCTCGCAAACGCGGACGCGAACCGTACCACAGAGTTCTACGACGGTTGCCAGAGCGTCGGCCTCCAGTTAGCACCTCCCCCTCCTTTCCGTCGCGGTAGCTAAGCAACCGTAGGCCCTCGGGAGAGCTTAGGCCAGGTGCCCGATATGGTGCCTCTAGCGGCCACTAAGGCGCTCTGCAGGCTCCTCACGCGTTTCGCCCTCCCCTCTCTCCACCTCCTTTGCCCCCGCCCACTTCTCCGCCACTTCGGCTCCTCCCTCCTCTTCTCTCTCTCGCTCTCCTTCCTCCTCCGCCTCCTCGGCTCCTGGGCTAGAATATCTATGGGTCGAAACGTGATGCGATGAATCCGAGAGAGACCGAAACTGGGACGAGGAGTGCGGCGGAAGCGGCGGGACTCCCGGGCATGGGGGCTCCACCACAATAGAGGCAGCGCCCCCAACCACCCCCGGCAACCCCTCCGGAGCGAAGCCCCCAAATCCCCTCGGGAAAAGGATGGCGGCGGCACCTACCCAGATCGAAGCCGGTGGGTAGCTGTGTCTGGGGGTTGAGGGGATGGGGGCTTAGCTCGACGGCTGTCAGTTTCTTTTTAAAAAGCTTCTATTTCTCTTCTTTGCCTCCCTCTCAACCTCCCTCCCCCCACCCCCCCTTCTCAGAGCTGTATTACCTGATCGCTAGGTTCTTGCAGTCCGGACCCTGCAACAAATCTGCTCAGGTGAGGTGGAGAAGCAAATTTGGGAGTAGTGGGGAATGGTCCCAGTGGGGAAATCAAGGCAGCGGGGTGAGCGGTTTGGCTGAGGGCGAGGGAAAGGCCGGCCTTGACTAGTCCTACCGTCAGCGTCTGGCTTCGGAGTGGGGAGGGAGGAATGGGTTGATGGCCCGAGCTGCTCCTCATTCGTGTTTCCCTTTTGCTCAGGTGCTAGTGCAGGAGCTCGAGGAGCATCAGGTACCGAGCCCCTTCGGCAAGGGGTGGGGAGGGCTGGGTGAGACTGGAGGAAGGGGAGGGCAAGACCGGGCGGAGGGCAAGGGCCAGGAGGGAGGCTTGGGACTGGGCACCCATAGCTGTTGTCACGGGGGTGAAGCGGCTTCTTCCTTCCAAAGGGGCGGACAACGCTGGGGTCTTAACTCGCCCCCTCTTTATGCTTGTGGGAAGCGGTTTTTCAGGATTTCCTCCCCCTTGGCCTCCCCCTCCCCCCCCCCAACACACGCTCAATCTAGCTCCAAGGTAATTTGCTTATTGGACCCAAAGAAATAAAGACTCCAGAGGGTCGAGGAGCAGGACCCAAGCTGGACCGGGTTGATGGGGAGCGCAGGCTTCGCCTTCATCGTCTGCCCCCCTCCCCCTTTCTTTTCCTTCGGCCCCCAGCTGATTCCGCGCCGCTTAGACTGGGAGGGGAAAGAGCACCGAAGAAGCTTCGAGGATCTGGTGAGTAAAGTTTTCATTTCAACTTCATCTTAACTCTTTCAACCCCTCCCTCTCCACCTTGTACCCCCCCTATCCGCCTCGACCCCTCAGCCAACAAGGCTCTCGAGCTTGGTGCCGAGCTGAAGAACGTCTGCCCCTTCCCCCTCCCCGCGAGTCGGAGAAAAGGGTACCTTGCCCTCTCCTTGGCCTCCCTCGTTGTTACCCGAAAACTTTGAAGAATATGTGAGTTGCTTTTGAGAGGTGCCGTGTTTTGGACTAGGAATATTGCTACAAACCTCGGGGAAGGCCCATTGTAGGGGGAAGCGAAGAGAAACCAGGGGGTTATCTTGGGGCACGTACCAAGGACTGACGCTGGCCAATGGCAGCGTTGGTAACAGCCCGGAGTTCCGGATTAGTGGAAGAAAACTGGTTTCTGGTTGGTCCTGGCTTGAAATACGGGAACTGAGGCCAGGCTTGGTCTTTTTTTTTTTTTTTTTTTTTCTCTTGGTGGTGGGGGGGACGCGAAGGGGCTCCGAAGGGGAGTTGACGGACTCCGGACTGGCAAAAACCGACACAATTAAAAAATAATAAAGCGCATCGAGCGAATTCCAAAATTTGCCTCTTGTAGATAATGTACTGCTGAATAAACGCGTATTCGTTGTATAGCTCATATCTTAGAAAATACCTCATTAAACCAGTAAAGCGTATTTGTACGGATGCATTTTCGCCAAATAAAAACTATACATAGTGACCTTTTGAAGAACTGTTGAAGCACGAGTTTAGATTTATGAGCAGACAATGGGCGTCTGTTAAAAGAGATACTTTTTTTTTAACGAACCAGACACATAGGTTACACTGTTTCAGCGTATGTGATTTATCGTATAAATGAGCCTTCTGTTCAATATTAGCAAACACAAAAAGGTGATCCTCTTTATTTTGGCGAGACGAGGTTCCCGTGTGTTACACTGGTGCAGTAAATTGGAGGGTAATGAAAGGAGAGAGGTGATGTTACAAAACTCTTAAATTCAGCTATCTCAAATAAGTTTCAAAGGAAAAAGCACTGGACAAAGTTAAAAAAAGTTGGAGGTGTATACTATATTCTAGTTATGTTCTAAAACAATTAAAAATTTGCAGCAGCACACGCTTTAATTCACTGTTGTGTTCATTTTAATATTTCTCATTTAAAACAGTGAGACAGTGCTCATTATGGAATTTGCCTGCTAATTTTTTTCTCATACTTTTCAGATCACAGAAAATGGTGTTATAATTGTGACAAGGGTAAATTTGGCCATTTGTTCTGTTACTGCTAAGTCTTTCGCACATGAATAAAAAAAATGTTCTTTTTGAAAAGCTGCTTGAATTACCAGGTTGTTTAATTTGCAGGCAGACCTTTTGTTAGGCTTGAAGTTCTGCCCCTTCTGAAAAGGCAAAAAAACAATGGTGGTTACGCATATTGAGTATATATTTTTAAAACGTAATGGCTGGTAGGATTTCCAAGGTCGTTTTTGAATATTGAGGTGTATTGACCTGTTTTTGTGTCTGTCTCAGAGCTGGTGTGTGTGTGTGTGTGTGTGTGTGTGTGTGTGCAAGTGCTGAAAGTTTTTTAAACTATCTTGACTGTGATAGCCTCAAAGTAATTAAAAACATTTGGTCTCACCACATGCATGCTCCCAGTTTACTAGGCTTTTGTTTTATTCTATATGTTTCTCTCACTCTAAACAGATTCAATTACCTTTAACTGTCTGTTGGTTTTAACAGGTGAAGAGAGCCTGTAGTTGATTTAAGTAGCTCTTTTCACTATCATTTTTTGAACTGTTAATTTACTTGAATATGCTTGATATACTCACTTTAAGCTGTATTATTGTTTCTTTTCTGTTTTTATAAGTACATTTCCTTATGCGTTGTACACAAAATTTTCTTGTGCCGAGTTACCAGTTATCTGTGGTTTAGATAAACAGTGTATCTTCTTGTTTTCATTTAATTTTGGTAATGTGTGCTCAGGCTTTTAGTTTTCTGTACCCAGATCCAGGTTTTCAAGATACGCTACTTTTGATATGCTCTTCTTTTAAATCAAAGATCTGTTCTCTGCTTGTGGCTGTCTTCATAAGGGAAGATGGGACATAACTGAAAATTTAAACATAAGGAAAATAAAATAGTACCTGAAAACTGAGTATGCAATGTTAAACATCATTTTCAGTAGGTTCAATGTAGGAAAGATGCGATTTTTTTTTCCCTTGGGGGTAGGTGCTTTTAAACCTGTTTTTAAAGCAGTGGATTTGATTTAGCTACATGGTTTGGATTGAAAACCAAGTATCTGGCATATTAAATTATATGGCAGTACTTCAAGCTTAAGATATACTGCATATGAAAAGGAAAAATACAAATTCATAATGGAGAGATAAAAGACTGTAAGCTAGTGTCTGCATAGTGAATTGGTGTTGCATGGCCATGTATACTGCATTTTTCAAACAAAAATCCTGCCCTTCAATTAATCAGTATATTTTCTTTGAATTGGGTGTCTACTGCTTGGTGTGTCCAGAACATTGTTAAGGTAATGATGCACTGAATATTTTTAAATACTTTGCTGTCACTACTGTATATTCTATAAAGTCCCTCCTTTTTAAAAATGATCATGTAATATAATATGTTTTGCAACATAGAGAAGGTGCTTTATTTGTAAGATTTATTTGTTTTGTAAAACAGAATTACAGAGAAGGAGAGAGAGAGAGAGAGAGAAAGAGGGCGAAAGAGAGACAGATGTTTTAATCTACTGGTTTACTCCTCAGTGGCTAGAAGCCTGAAACTCCATGTGATTCTTCCATGTGGGTGGCATTTGCTGCTGCTTTACCATGTCAGTTTAGCAGGGAGGTGGACTGGTGGACTGAAAGTAGATCAGTGGCAATGGGGACTTAAACCGGCCACTGTATGGGCTGCTGTTGTATGGGCTGCTGTTGTCACGGACAGTGGCTTAACTCAGTGAACCACGACACCAATCCCTGGGAAGGTGTTTTTTTTTTTTTGTTAATGTTTAGCAGGTGACTATTGGCATACTGAGATCTGAAGGGCCTTTAAAAAAGAGTCTATATGTGAAATGCTTGTTGGTGTTAGTTGGTCTGTAAGGATTTTGAATATGGAATTCAAAATTTCAAATTTTCTAGAAATTTAGGAAATGCTAGCGGAAACATTTTCTAAGTTGTTGCAGTTGCCTGAAGTTTGATCAGGGCGTTTCTCTTCATTCTCGCTTCCTGCTTGATGGTTATTGGCAGCATTCTAGAATAACATTTATTTCTTGCTATCCCCCCTAAGGAAGGTTCTTGAAATCATTGTAGATGTTACTTTGACTTGTTGCCCGCTGTGCGGCTTCTTTGACGAGCTTTATTGAGGACAGAGTGATCCAAAGGTGTTTGCTGTATGTTTGAAATGAGCAGCTTTGTTAACATTGGAATTGAAATATCGAATAGTGATTTGGAGGTTTTGTTTTAAGATTAAAAATAGGTATATATTGATTTGAAAGGTAGAGGTACTGAACAGAGAGAGAACGAGAGATCGTCCATCTGCTGGTTTGTTTCCAAAATACCTGTGAAGGCCAAGGCCAGGCCAGGCCAGGCCAAATCGAAGCTGGGAACCAGGATCGGCTTGAGGGTCCCCACGTAGCTGTGTAAGTGTGGGGGCCACCTTCTGCTGCTTTCTCAGGTGCCTTTGGAAGGGCCTGAACTGGAACAACTGGCAGTTGAGTGGTCATTTTATGGTCACTTTATTGGATGCTGGCCCCGAGGTGACAGCTTAGTGTTCTGTGCCATGTTTTAAGGTTTTTGAGTCAATTTAAGAGGATTCCTATGATAAGAGTGAACCAAAGGCATAATTTTACATAATTATGAGTGGTATATATTTTTACCTTGAACCGTTTTTCATTTTTATTAATTGAAAGTACTGTTAGTGCTTATATTTGGGATGAGATAGATTTCGTTATCCGCATATTGTATACCGAATACTGGAAGGAATTTACACATCGATTTTTTTATTATTTAAAATAATATGTGTATCTGTTGATATGTTAGTATAAGAACTTGAATCTGCATAGAATACATTCAAGCTTAAAAGTGTGACAACGTTTTCGCTATTGACCTTCCCCAACTACTGTATTTGAATTCCAGACATAGCTGTATTCTCTGTTTTTTTTTTTAACCTCTCCTAGCTGTTGTTCTCCAATTACTAGTAATAGCTTAAATTGTTTATAATAGCACAGCTCTCCTTGAGTGCTTGTAGAATAGTGATTGTATCTTTAAGTGTGAAAGCAGTTTAAACATGTGTGATTTATTAACCGCCATGTGGACACACGGCCCTAGTCGGGAAGAACGGAAGGCATCATGGGAAGCCAAAATGCATATGCCGTTCAACTCCAGTGCAGTGTGCATGTAGTGCTAATTCAGAGGTATGGCAGAGAGCAGTGACTCTGGAAGCCAGTCTTCCTGGCTAATGCTGTGCTTGCTCCACACGTGTACTCCTGCTCTGGGAAATAATGTGGCTTTAGCTGTTGGAATTAAAGCGACACTATTTTCACGTTTGGGCTGTACAGATTTGCAGTGATGAAAATCCTTTTGGAGAGTTATTATTAATCCTAGGAAAACTGGTATGTCACAAATAAGATGGCGTTATAAACATGAAGAGAGCTGCTCTTAGGTTAAGAATTTGAATTTTATGTGTTTGCCCTACCGATTTTTTTTTTTCCCCCCCGAAATCAAGTTTGTCACATTTGAAGATTAGTTTGTGTGTTTTTGTTTACTTCTGGCATTAACTGATAGGGAACGAAATAGTAATCTTAAAGGGAATTCAGTGTTTATGTCATATTTTAGATGTGACCTTGTTTTGACATATGTTGTGTGGGAATTTGTGAGCTGTAGGAAAGATGCTGAAATTTATTGTAAAAGATAGCCTTGAACTTGCTGTAATGACCCTGGGCAAATTACTTAACCTCTTAGAGATCCAATTTCTTCATTTACAGAATGAAAAATCCCACCTGT